ATTATCACTCTCCATTTTCTAAGTAATGTTAGTAATCACCAAAATACCCAGTAGATTTTCCTGAAAGAGCAAACCCACTCTTTCCACTTTACCATCGTGGTTATTGCTGCTTCCTTGCTCCACTGGAGGCTGGAAGAAAAGGTGGTCTCTGTCAATCCACCCAAGTACTAAGAGTAACAGCCTAGAGACATTGACATCAATAATGAGGAGAGACTTTGCAGAAATAATGCCATGCCTTGCTCTCCCTTCACTCCCATTTCTAGACAGTGTTTCACTGCATCGAGGCTCTGTATCAAACTCTTGAGAAACACCCTGACACATAGAAAACTTAAAAACTAAGCAAAAAATACAGGATCTGAAAGGGAATAGGATGAAGGTGTGGGCTGAAGGAAACATTTTTCTAGACTAGCAGATGCTCTCTTTCTTCCTAAACTTCTCCAAATCTGAAGGAAGAGGACAGGGACTTGAGGAGGAGGGAAGGCGTGGTGCCAGGGAGGGGACCTGTATGGCTTCAGCTACAGAGGAGTCCCAAGTCCACCATATGGTTGGAAGAGGAGGAACCAAGCTAGACAGGGTGGAGGCAAAGTCTAGTTCCTAGGAAGTCTGGCCCACTGCTGGTGGGGGCAGCACTAGGAGGCAAGGGTCTCTCCTTAGCAACAAGGGCCTTTTTAAATGCTTGTGCTGTTGACCCATGTTTGGTGTGTGTGAGTTGGGGCACACAGGGGAACTCAAGTGAGAGGAAGGAAGGATGGTGGTGGAGAGGAAGTGGCTTTGGTATTCTACCCGACCCTGCCCTTCATGTCTTCATTCCATCTTACATCTATTCTTTTAACCCAAAGGGATTCCCAAGAATGAGGATATTGCAGAAAAAGGAGGGAAGATTCCAAGAATGGAAAATGGTATAAAAAGAAGGGCAGAAGAAAAACAAAAAACAAACAAACAAATGAAAGCCAGAAGTATTGCTGAGTGTTTGGAATATCTCTACTAATTCATAAAAACCACATTATCTGTAGAATGCGGTTGTCTGAGGCACAAATAGAGCCAAATATCAAGAAAATGCATGTCTCTGCCAGGCATATGCTATGACCATTGTAGCATTTATAGGTGGGGAATTGTTTCTCCTTCTTTCTGTGAGAGATACATGTGCTCTTTCATTCATTCATTCATTCATTCATTCATTCAACATGTACTCATAGATTGTCTGGGCCATGTAGGAGGGTCCTGGAGAGTAGCAATGAATAACACAGTTCTTTCTATTCATAGCATTTGGAGTCCAGCAGGGAGAACCTGTCAAAATCCAAAGTAAATAGATGCAGTGAACAAGAAGTGTACATGACTTGCTAACTGGTCCTTTGGAGGAAACACAGAGGCAGCCATATGGAAGCCACAGTTTCCAAAAGTCTATCCTAGAAGATCTCATAGTGAAATTGACCTTGATTAAGACTTCAAGGCAAGGGGACAGGCAGTAGGAGAAGCGCTTTTGAGACAGGAAAGAGCAGGTGCAGAGGCTGAGGACTTTTTGTACGGATGGAGCTCAGGAAGAGCAGCGGCTGATGGTGTTAGACAAGAGTAACCAAGCCAGCCAAGGGGGCAGTGAAAGAGGAAGTTCACACATTCCAAATGAGAGAGAAAACTTTCACTCTGAGTAAACAGGTGTCACTGGATCAGGGATAAGGCCCTGAATTTATATTTAAAAAAATCTTGCTTGTGTATGTGTATGCATGTTCATATATGTGTGAGTTCATGTGTGTGAAGGCTATCTTGATTGTGTCATTCCTTGGGTTGTTCTCTGGTTTAAAAGTCACCCATTCGTCTAGGCTGGCTGGTCCTAGGAATTCATTTTCGTCTCCCACAGCTGATATTACAAGCTTGTGCCACTATGCCCAGCCTTTTTATATGGCTGCTGGGACTAGAACTCAAGTCCTCATGTTTGTAAAGCAAACACTTTACTGAGCTATCACTTTAAGCCCTAAATTACATTTTAATAGATATATGTTGCTATCTGTGGTGAAGATACACAGCAGGAAGGTGGAGGAAGGGCAGAGTACGGGGACCAGAAAGGAAGCTGTCCCTTGGACTGGAGCAGTAACAGTTATATAGACAGCCCCAGTAGCAAGGTGATGAGCAGCCCAGAAGAACATTCCAGAAGAATGTCCCTATGATCTTGGATGTCAGGACTTTACAGCCATCTGCCCTGCCTCCCCAAGGCTTTGGCTCGTGCACCAGGAATAACAAAGACACCGGGAGGTAGAGGAGGAAGACTAAAGAAGGGACATGTGCTCAGGATATAAAGACTTGAGCTTAGCTGTTGCCGGTCTGTGGGAGATATTCTTTGCTGCCTGTCTGTGGGAGATATTCTTCTAGCTGGGCTGCTTTTTCTGGCCTCAGTGGGAGAGGATGTGCCTAGCTCTGTAGAGACTTGATGTGCCAGGGTGGGGGATACCCCGGGGAGCCTCCATCCTCTCAGAGGAGAAGGGGAGCAGGGATGGTGGTGGTGGAGGATTGTGGGAGAGAGAGGCAGGGAGGTGGGGCAGTGAACAGGATATATAGTGAATAAAGACATTTAAAAAAAATAGTTGAGCTTAGGCATGATCCCTGTCTGTGTGAGGAGCCAATACCCCAAACATGTGGAGAGGACTATATCATTCAAAGAGAGTTGTCTCCTGAGGCCCTGCCAGCAGACATGGGCAGCCCAGCTTGTCCTACATGTCTCAAGATAAGGCTTCCTCCTGTTTTTGTCTATTTAACCTTCCAAGGGAACTATTTTCTATTTTAGCATCTCCGAATTTACATTGTATCTGCGATTGTTATCAACCTACTGGCTGGGGAATTTCTGCACCACCCAGGTAGAGATTATGGTTAAGTGCCAGGTTGGCTTCAGCTGTCTACTTGTGATAAACCGAGAACAGCTGTTCTCAACCTGTTTTTTTTTCTTTTAATTTTCCTAACTATAGCAGCCTTTCAAAAGACTCCAGTCAGAGCTGGTGAGATAGCTCAGCAGTTAAGAGCACTGACTGATCTTCCAGAGGTCATGAGTTCAAATCCCAGCAACCACATGGTGGCTCGCAACCATCCATAATGAGGTCTGATGCCTTCTTATGGGGTGTCTGAAGACAGCTACAGTATACACACATAAATAAATGAAAATCTTTGGGCTGGAGTGAGTAGGGCCAGAGCCAGCAGGGGAAGGAGGGAAAAAACAAAACAAAAATCCTCCAGTCAGTATTTTGCCATAATTTACCTAGCACATTGTGTTAGAACTAGTAGTATATAAATAATACTTTCCAAGTTTCAGATTTGTAACAGATAGTAAGTGACCAGTCCTCAGACTCTTAATTTAAAAATTATCAATTACTTCAGAACATACAGGACACTTGGCCCAGAGGAAATTCACTATTCTTCCTTTTTAGACTGTTGTCTGCCTTAGAAAGGCATGATTTAAGATTCCCTGAGCTTCACCTTGAGTCTTGAGCTACAGAAACCTCTGTAGGCCGTGTTGCTTCAAATGCTTTTGGAAGGTCAAGGCATCTCAAGCCAATTTCAAGTCACCCAGCAATATTCCTCTTTTCCCTTTTAGAATTATGCTCAGGAAAAATCCATTACCAAGACATTAGAACAGATGTTCTCCAATTTAGTGCTCATCATAATAAGCTAGAAAACCTGTATATATATATATATATATTTCCTGGCTGGTTTCCCAGAAGTTGGAAGGTGTGGGGAGGGACAGCCAACTTCCGTTGATCTTGGGAGCTCAGGAATTGCTCAACTGATTCAAGAAGGCAGAGATCAGACCTCATGGATCCTTGTGTACAGCAGATTGACACCCCCCCCCCCGCAATGTTTGAAACTTAAAGAGTAAGTTGGAAAAATACAAGTCTGTGTGTCTCCATCTTTTTTCTTGGGTTGTCCTAATAGTAATAAGCCTAAATTATATTCCCTGTATTGTCTTTGCTTAGTTACTTTGTTTCCTATTTTTCTATGTATTCAACATGTATCATTCGCACAGGAAAGAGGCTCAGCGCTGCCACCTCGTCTGTGAGCTATTAGTTTGGTTGCCTTTGAGGTCTTATTCTTGGGGTGACTGCTGAAGGGGTCTGCGTGCTTTTAGAGATTAAGCTCCAGGACAGCATAGGGATCCTCAGGAGGAATTATCTCCAAAATAACCCCAAATCAACCACAGATTGGATATCTTTTGTTTTGTTTTTGTAGCATCTAGTAGAACCTTCCAGGTTCTGACTAACAAATCAAGAGCAGGGCTTCCATTGGGTGGGGACTGGAACCAGACAAGCGTTTTTCGTTGCACATTCTCCAATTTCTTTTGGATTATCCAGAACTCAGGCCTGCTTGCAGAGGGTGTGTCTAAGAATGGCTTTCCGACAGTCTTCTACACCCAATCCCTTCTCTACAGTCAGAGACACAACTTGATCTACTCACACATCCTTTCCTAATTGATTTCGGAGTGGAGGCGAAACCTGGAGGATTCTGTGAATCCTGGACATTGAACAAAAATGCTGACTGCCAGGTCAAGGAAGAACCCTGCCGGAAGTGAGGCGCGTGCCTCTGCTACTGCACAGACCTCTGGGCTCCCTCAACCGCCACCCTAACAGCTAGAGCAGGTGGGGTGATGGGCGCCCCACGAGCCACTGAGCCAATGTGGTGGGCTGGCAGGCTGCTCTGCGCCAACTTGCGGAATCATTCCCGTAGCTGCGCTGTCATCCACTTATGGGCTCCCTACCCAGCGATGAACTTCCCATCCCCTACTTGAAATGGCACCCCACACCCCGACTCCACCTCTCAGGGTCCACAGCGATGCATCCGCATCCTAACACTACGCGTTTATCCCACGCTATCCTGCTCAACCTTCCTGCAGCGTGCCGAAGTCCTAGACACGACAGGCCCCGCCCTTGCGTGAGTCCCGCCCATCGCCACAACCCATTGGTGCTCGGGCGGGGTGTGGGCGGATCCTGCGGGTGCAGGCGGGGCAGCAGTTCCAAGGCTAGCGCGCGTGGGCCAGGGCTTCAGTGCTTGCTGAGTACCGGAGCGTCCGGCGTCTCTCAATCTCCTCATCATGGGTGACAAGGACTCCAGCAGCTCCTTTCCGAAGTACCTGGAGCACCTCTCTGGAGATGGCAAAGCCATCGGTGTCCTGACCAGCGGCGGGGATGCCCAAGGTGCGCTCCTACCGGCTCTCTCGCCGGTCTCCGGGGCCCGGGCGGGAAGCGAGGGCGGTCGGAGAGGGCTGCAGCGGAGGGTAACCGGGGTGGGAAGAGAGGGAGAGCTGGGGAGAAACGTTGGGTGACGTGGATCTGAGAGAAAGGATGAGGAAAGGGCTTCGTGAAAAAGACCCACTAGAGTCGAGGAGAACCAGCTCAGGAGTAGGGAAACCCTCTAAGCTAGGAACAACTAAGGGTGTCTGAGGAGCGACCATAGAGGATGGAGCCCCACTGCGTGGTGAGGTGCAGAGGATAAAGGATATGGTTGTAGGATCCTTCATTCCCAAGATGAACCAGTTTTCCATCCCCAAATTTATTAATTGAGCTAGCCAATGGGGTCTCCTTGTGTCTGGGTCATATGACACAACCAGGCGTTCTTTCCTGGAATTAGGTACAGGGCGACGATAAGGATGCCACAGCACCTGCCCCACCCTAATCCCTTTTCTCGTAGGAAAAAGAGCGGGGTCCCCACAGCGCCTCCTGCCCAGTCCTGCCTCCCACGAGGTGCTGGCAGCCTTCTCTACTGCTGCATTGCGGGCTGCGCAGCTGGGGGGCGCGCAGGGGTCCCTCCGGGTGTGGCATTGGCAGCCAGGCAGCATCTCGTGTTTTCACTAGGGAGATCCTTTAAAAGATTTTCTCCTGTCGCCGTCCTGCTTGTCACAAAACTGAAAACTAAAATGGGTCACTAGGCCCTCCGGGCCAGCCTCCCCCGGACGGGAAAGACCAGGAAGCAGGGACTCCGGGACGTCATCAACCCTCACTCCAGCACCAGCTCCAGGCGTCTTTTTTCTCCCAATGACAGGATTGATTTCAGAGCTGAAGGGACTCGATTTCTGGACGCTTGGATTTGATAAACTAAAAGAATACTTAAAATGTTGAAGAGCAACGGGGTGACTATACTGTGCCCCAGCCTATCATCCTGGGTGCACGTGGGGGCGCTGGGGTTCCCGAACAGTGGCCTTTCCAAGTTCATTCTGGTTGCTTGATGGGGACACTCACTAGAAGCAAGAGCTACATTTTTATAGAGTATATGCCCTCCAAGTCTTGAGGTTTCCGCCAGCTGCAGACAGTTCCCTGAGCCAGGTTTTGCTTTTGATTTCAGTTCTTTCCTCTGCCCTAAACGAGTCCAGATGCCATGTTTTATTTTCCCTCGTTCTGAGCCAGCACAAGAGGGGAGGCTTAGAGTTGGTGCCCCGTGTCTTTGCCTTCCGCCCACCCCACGGATGACCTTCTCTTTGCCCTTGAGCGGGGCGGGGCTGGCGCCAGTGCCGCAGGTTGGGGAGCTGCTTAGGGCACCGCCCCGCCCGGCGTGGGAGCCTACGTGATGCCGGGCCCGTCGTCTCCGGTGTGCTCCAGGTCTAGGTCTCCCACGTCGGCTCACTCACATTAGTGCAGCATCTGAGGCACAGAGAATCAGGTTCACAAACACCGGAAGCTGAGTCTGCCCAGTGAGGGGTCTCCAAGTGTTCTCCCTCTCATTGTCTTAAAGGAGCCAATGGCAGCATTAGTCACCATAGGGCACTAATCCCGCCTTCCTCCCCAGAAAGCAGGGTTGGAGTAATACTAGGATTCTAGTGAGGAGATCCTTGTTATAAATGTTTCCTCATGCAGGGCTTGTTTCCAAGAGACAGAGAACGCTATGATACACCGGAGACTGGGAAAATAGCATCCTTACACAAAACCCTGCTAAGCCCAGATAGGAAGACACTCCCACTACAGGAAGAGGCTATGGCCACTAGGGCTGCAAGCTTAAGCAATAAAGGTTTTGTTTCAGAATTAACTTCCTGGGTCAGTTAGAAAACCAATATTGATGGCTTATGATTTTGAAATCCCTGTCCAAAAATGGTCCTGAAATATTTAGTCCGTGTGCAATCATGTGAGATTCTAAGGGATTTGAGAGAAACTCCGTTTCCTTTTCTGCTTCTCTTGGATCTACCTCAGGTGAGAACTGGGGAATCTGGATTTTTAAATCCATTTGGCCTCTTCTGTGGTAAAGGAGTCTCTGAGAACAAAAATTACGTTTGAGCATCGCTGGAATAGTAGAGTATCAGATCCATGGAAGAAGGCTGCTCTCGCTTAACAGGTGGTGGTGTCTACTCTCCCTTGTTACACCTCTGACAGCACCCTCACAACCGGCTCTGACTCACTTCCCAAGCCTAGATTTTCTAAGAACTTGAGTAAACAGTCGTGTTTTATTGTGGTACTATACTGGACCTGCATTGTTTTCATCCTGGAAAATTCTGGAGATATGCGCAGAGGACCTGGACTGATCAGTGTTAATCCTGGGATGAAAGATATTTATTGTCCCCTAATTTTTTTCACCATTTCCTCTTGACTGCATCAGTACCTGAGTTTTCCTGAGGGAGGAATTTGTTCATAGCCAGAGGTGGGGAGGAGGGTGCAGGAAATTCAAATCTTACACTGACAGAATGATGATATAATATTGTACTGAAGTGGTCATAGCTAGTGCTGTATGAAGTCTACACATCTTATATACTAAAGCCTTACAGTCCTCATCTCTGTGCCTAATTACACAACTCCAGGATAGGGAATTCTTCATTTTAAGAAGTGGGCAGAGAGAATGTCAAAGAGATAAGTGACTCAGGAAGGCCATGAGGCTCATGCTTCATCGTACAGAACTTTTTTTTTTTCTAAGTGCTCCAGGTGAGGATCGAACTCATAACCATCGTACAGAACTTAAAATGATGCTTTATGAAATCTCATCCCGAAATTCTCTTAACTAAATCATGGCTCTCTCCCTGTAAAAATGTGCTTTGTTGGTAAGTTTATTTATTATGACTAAGGACGGACCTTCAGTCAGTATTCAGTCCTGTACAAAAACAATGAATGCTTTTGGATAGATTGTGGCAGTTTCTGAGATGGCTCAGTAAGGAGAGTGTGTTTGCTCACAAGCCTGATGAGTTCAGTCTCTTGAGTTCCACCTGGTGGAAGGGGAAACTGACTCCTGCAAACAGTGGCATGTTCATACCCCCCCCCCACACACACACAGGTAAATCAACTAATTAATGTAGTCATTAAAAAAATTAGATTGTGGCCTCACCAGGGCTAGTGTATGGTGGCATTCAGGTTTGTCAGATTCCATGGGCATGCTCAGCTGTCCTACTGTTTATGAAGATGTCAACATTAATACGATATTTAAAAACACTTAGATTTTACATAAATCTCTCTGGGCTCTTTGGAAATAGCTAGCCATTAAAGACCATTTGTTGTATGGTAGGCTAAATACTATGGGCACCAAATTATCCCCATCTGATGCGTGAGTCAGTGAAGTTTAAGATGAACTGGTTTTCTGAAATTCGCAAGAACTGAATGTCAGGGCCAGAACTTGTGGCTGTAGACTGGATACAGTTCCAATGTGTTGTTGACTGGGATACAGATATAAGGTGCTATTGACTGGAGAGTTCTGAGTGCAACTGTAGTCACAGTATCCTCAGGCAGCAAGCATTGTGATATTTGTTGACTGTCTCCCACTCAGAATGGGAAGTGACAGGGAGAACATTTGTATTGTATTCAGGTGAATTAAACCTTCAGTAATCAAAATTACTCCTTCAGCCTTTGAGCAATAGGTACCAACCACCAACAATTCTAGAGAACATTAAATTGCAGTTAGAAGCACCTGCAGACTTGACCTAGGTGCTAAGTTGGTTCCTCTATTCACTCTGCCTTCTGTATTTCTAGATTTGACACTCGCAAATGATAACAGACATGGGTTGAATGTATGTTTCTAAATGTAGCATAGACTAAAAAGCCAACGTTTGCTACCATTTCCCCTGACCAGTACAGCGTAATAACCATGTGCATGCCATTTGCATGTCCTAGCTGTGATAAATAATTCAGAGATGCTTTAAGGCATATGGGAGAATGTGCCAGGCTGCACAGACACTTCTGTCCTTTGTGCTTGTTTTTTGTTTTTCCAGATATGATTTCTTTGTGTAGCCCTGGATGTCCTGGAACTCACTCTGTAGACCAGACTGCCCTTGAACTCCCCGGAGATCCATCCGCCTGACTCTGCCTCCTAAGTGCTGGGACTAAAGGGGTGTGTTGCCACCACCCTGCAAGTTCTGTCATTTTTATAGATGGGCTTCAGACTCCTTGGTTTGGTTTCTGAAAGGGTCTTGAAATTGATTCCCCGGGGAATACCAAAGCAAGTCTATGTTCATTGAACACCCACACGAGAGCCCTAGTTGTCATTATCCATAACTGTGCTTGTATAAGACACCAGCATATGCACAAGGACTTTCTGAAAAATAGACATGTGACCACTACAGCTCTTTGTGTGTCTGTGCATGTGAGCAAAGTACCCAAACATGTATGCTTATACTATCCTAACATTCTTCTTGTCTGCTCTTTGAGTGGATTTTTCCAAGTTAAAATATAATTATTTGAGCAAAAATATAGGGCAAAGTCCATCACAGAGTAGGTGGTTTGTATGACAGCACAGTGTTTGTTTATTTCCTGGTGCTGAGGATGAAATCCAGAGCTTTGCACAAGTCAGGCAAGTGCTTTGCAATTGGGCTGCTCCCCAAGCCCTGGTGCATCATTTTTCTCTGAGGACAAGTATCTTTTTGTGGCATGTGTTCCTATGACCAGTGAAAGCTAGATATTTTGTTGGCTTTCCGGAATAAGTAAGGAAGATAAAATCCTACGACATGCCTTCCATTGGTGAGAACTCAAAGCCCTGGGTTGTGAAAGAAGCCTTTTATCTGGGAATCAGGGGCTGTTCAAGTTTTGATCTATTGATTTGCTATCAAAAGCCATCAGAACTAGAGATAAGAGGACGAGGTTGAAGACTGCTGTGGAGACACAAAGCTGTATTCACTACTACAATCACTACATTATTACGTTAAATAGTTAAATAGAGTACTCAGGATGAAGAGCAGATGGCTGAATTTAGCTAGGAGCTGAGTCACTTTTGATTTACAGTCTTCAACAAGCTT